AATTGGATAAAGAAATTGACATTAGATGCAGTAAAACAAACCAAGTATTGGGACAGCTAGCCCCCCTCTTACAGCATAAGACAATCCCAATCAGCACAAAGAGACATCTTATTCAAAGCATATTTATTCCAACTCTGTGCTACCAGTGCCAGACATGGTCACTCACAACAAACCATAAAATAAAATTAGAAACCACGGAAATGAGATGTCTGAGAAGGGCTGTAGGAGTGACCATAAGAGATAAGATCAGAAATGAGATCATAAGAGAACAAGTCGGCACAGAACCAATTCTGGATTACATACAAAGACAGCAAGTGAAATGGTTTGCCCACTTAGAGAGAATGCCTTGTGACACCATACCATACAAAGCATACATGGGAAGAGAAGAAGGACTTAGAGCACTGGGTAGACCAAGAACAAGATGGAAGGATAACATCAGAGAAACTCAACAACAGCACGATGTGCCTATGGTCGAGGCAGCCAGAAGAGCTAGAAACAGAACCTTATATCTCCCTCGACACCCACAGCGGTAAAAGAGGAAGTGAAGAAGAAGAAGAAGAAGATAGTAATACTGTATCATCAGCATAAAGAATTTCTGGCACAAGCAGATTTTGACAAAAGAAGAAGAAGATATACGAGAGTATATGAGCACTACGTCGAGTGACGTCACCTGGCGATAGCCATGACAGGGACGGAAAGTGCAACGCTTTGTCGATGATACTCTTGTACTCTGTCAAAATGTAGAAGGTTTGTTTCCTTTTAAAGACAATATTGCTTTCAGCATAAATATATATTTATCTATTTTTAGAATAATGAGTAGCTTGGGAGAGAAGTGACGATAACAGTGTCAAGAAGTCAATATGATTATGTCCAAGCTATTGCGATAAAATTTGGGTGAGATATACAAATATACGTGTAGGCATTCATTTTTTTTTCATGCTTATTTAATAATGCCCTCAGAGAAATGGGAAGAATAGAGGACTTTGGGAGCAGTGAATCCACATCACTCACCAGAATGGCAGACTTGGGAATTAGGATCGGCACAGCAAAAAACGAGGCGCACACCAGAAACGCCAAAAGATGTGGTACTATTAGCCATCATACGTTGGGGTTTATAGTGAGGGGAGGATCTGAACACCTATGGAAATGTCCGGAGTGCAGTGATGATAACCGAACGAACTAACTAAACGCTACCTAATTTTTGATTTTGCTTTTGAGGAATGTCTTCTTCTCTCATCAGATACAAACATCTACATTTATTTAAGAAAACAATTCTACCTTTTTTCAAATATATACAAGGCAAAATCTAGAAAGTCATAACTCTCAAAATCCCGTATCTAGCCTGAATTTCTTGCTAGTCCATTTATTGTAGAAGTGCACCAGACATCGTGTCCAGCAATCCGGCTTTCCTTTAAAAAAAAAAAAAAAAGATACATTACCTGAATTATGAACCACATCCGCCAGTTATCACATACTTGCCAGTGACCTCTGTACACTGACTGGTAGTTCTTCAACAAGTCTCTTGTTTTAGATACATGAGGCAGTCGAAAAGGGCATTACTGTGATTACCATCACTAGCATCATTACATACGTCTGGTTAGCGGGTGGAACGGCACCAGGTGTATACACTCATTCAGGACACTCCCTGTCTCGTATCTAGTAGGCAGGCAATATTAGGGTATAGGTTTACATCCTGCATTGAAAGAATAATTTATCTGAATTATTTTGCATTTAATAATAGTTATGTGCGTGTATAGAACTGTAAGACTGAATATACTGTGGGAGTTTACATGTGTATACGTAAGTGCCAAATTATAGCATGTGTACTCTGTGAGGCTATGTTTGGTTTATGCAGCATTAAAGATAATCTGGTAGTGTGGGTATATGTACAAAGCTGAAGGATTGAAGATACTGTGTGAGTCAATTGGTGTGTAACGAACTGTAAGATCGCAGATATGCTGTGTGCGTCTATGTGCGTGCAGAGAACTTTAAGACTAAGGATTCGCAGTGTGAGTCTATGTGTGTGCACAGAACTGTAAGGCTGAAGATTTGCTGTGTGTGTCTATGTGCGTGCACAGAACTGTAAGACTGAAGATATGCTGTGTGTGTCTATATGCGTGCACATAACTGTGAGACTGAAGATATGCTAAGTGAGTCTATGTGCATGCACAGAACTGTAAGACTGAAGATATGCTGTGTGAGTCTATGTGCCTGAACTGAACTGTAAGACTGAAGATATGCTGTGAGAGTTTATGTGCCTGAACAGAACTGTAAGACTGAAGATTTGCTGTGAGAGTCTATATGCGTGCACGGAACTGTGAGCCTGAAAATATGCTGTGTGAGTTTTTGTGCCTGCACATAACTGTAAGTCTGAAGATACGCTGTGTGAGTCTGTACGTGTGCACAGAACTGTGAGCCTGAAGATTTGCTGTGTGAGTCTCTATGCGTGCTCAGAACTGTAAGACTGAAGATATGCTGTGTGAGTCTATATGCCTGCACATAACTGTAAGTCTGCAGATATACTGTCTGCGTCTATGTGCATGCAAAGAACTGTAAGACTGAAATATGGTTGTGGGCAATATATGGATACGTAAAGGGCTATATGCCTTGGAAGTATAGACCAGGTACATACACGTGTACGTACCTTGGAGGTCAGGTAAAAACTTAAGGGGCTAACATGTAAAGTTTATGTCCAACAATGTAGGCGAGTCACTTAGAAATTAATTCAAATAACTACTCAAATGTGTGTGCATTCCTAATTATTCAGAAACGACAGCATACAAGACAGTTGAATAGGAGTTGCTTGCATGTGCATTAACATGCAGACTATTGTTCTACTTGTGTGGACATCTGTGGCAGGTAAGGCAGTTTCATTCTTTGTTCATATTATTTGTCCCAGTCACATATATAAGATATATACGTATATGTGTATGCACAAA